CTATCAGCGAACCCACACCGAAATAGCGCCAAACAATGAACGGAAAGTTCTTAATACCCTTGAGTACTTATTGGCAAATTGATGTCGCCCTGTTTTGGTTCTATTAGAAGGTAAGTAATCGTTTCGTGATTCGGGCAGAACAGCGTAATAAAATTGTCAACATGACAGGCTGCGATTAATATAGACCTTATATTTATAATGCATAAATCATGCAGCAGACGGAACGTGCTCCTTTGCCTTGCATTACTTTTCCCACAACTTACTGTTGCGACTCCTGGGGCAAATTCCGAATTCATTGTGCTAGGGATGTGTTTTTTGAGCATTCTTTCCTACATTTTTATAAGCCCTACATTAAAGGGTATTATGAAAATTGTTATTAGAGATAGTTTGTATTTCTTGTGCTCATAATATTTTATACAAGTCTTAGCTACCTTTAAATATTTTTAAGCACATATTTATGGTATTAGAAAATATCTCATAAAAAAAATTATAAGCAAAGTGTACAACATTTCCAAAAGGTTTTCGAAACTTCTAATAATAATGTTATCTGGAGTTCAGAAAACCCCTTAACTGCAGCGGAACACGATCATAACTCACTCACACGCTCATCTCTAGGCCAAAGCCAACGACCGGACTCAGTTTGTGGCAAACTTGTTCTGACTTTTGTTACAATTGGTGATTCCTTTCTTTTTTATTCTGCTTTCTAGCGCTGTTAGACAATGCACCATAAAACTGCATTGGAGTTGAGATCGCTGTTTCTGCCCGTTTGGTTCCCACTCCACCCATTTCCATTTCAGTTGCCATGCAAATTTCTGCCTTGTGTTGTTTTTCCGTCTCGAATGTTTTCCTCTTTCCGGGCACATTTGTCAAGGTGTCTTGTAAACAAGGAAACCAAGAAACCCAAAGAAACCAAAGAGCCCAAAAGAACCCAGAACCCAAGCACCGTTAGATCAGATGCAGACGGAGTGCTTATATAACGCATTGCGCCAACCGAATTTGTATGTTTTATTGGTTACCTCTTTAGGCCATAAATGGTAGTGACAAAAGTCGGAATTTATGGCCTGCTGACAGTTCTGATAAATAACCCAAGGCCCGACTGTGGCTTAGTGGCCTGGGGTTTGGATTTTTCGACTGGATAGGGCGTTTTGCAGGTGGGGAAAGCACCTAAGAGAGCCATAAAATGTTTTATCTCCGAAGCTGTTCTTCCAGCACGTCGTCGTGAGGAGCCTGAAGTTAATTAGCAGGGAATAAATGGCTTTTAAAATTCCACCTCTTTCGGGAAGTAAGCCGGGAATGCGTTTCGTAAAATGTGCCTACAGGAGCTACGTAAACTCATGGGATTATATTTTATTAAAGAGAAGAAGAGAATGCATTGGAAAGCTTCTAATTTGTTTTTCGATAGAACCTTAAAGGGTAATATTAGTATAGTCACATAATACCCTGCCAAATATATAATTATGCTATCTCATTTCGTCCTCTTTTAAGAGCACATAAAAACCTTAAGTATAAGACGTAATAATTCTGTTTGTTTTCTGTGTATTGCATAGATGCTGTTTGGATAGTGGAGACACAAAAGAAAGAGACCTTCCTCATATGGCCAGGCTCAGTTGGTTAGGTTTTTTCGCTGCTTTATTTATACGTGCACTCTTTTTCAGCCGGTTGCCTCAGCGTTTTCAATATCAGATTACGTGCGGGTCATCTTTTGTTGTTGCTCGGGGGACTGGGGGCTCTCCTTAAGTGCTGCAGTGCTTTTCGGCATATCAGATGTTGCTAATGTGGCTCCGCTTACTGTGGGCCGGGCTCAAGCGCTCCACTTGAAAGGAGAGCTTAGATACCAGATACAAGATACTTTTTTCGACCTTGAGATGGTGGTCGTGGCTGAGCTCCCGGCCCCGATAATCGGATTTGTGGCACACCCCGCTCAGAAAGATTATCGCCAAATGCAGTGAGGCGTGGAGAGATGACCAAAGGGCATCCAGGAAGTTCATTTGATGTGCTGAAGAACTTTTCTACTGAACTATTATTGCGCTATAAACTCTGTTATAATTAAGACTTTAATGATCTTAGATCTATCGGGGTTGCTTTTAAATCTTTAGTTATTTTTTGATCAACAAAACATGATAATGAAATTAGAGTTGGAAAAATCTCGACTTCTCGTTATTACAAGAACATAAAATGTATTCAAAATCATAAATAAGTAAAACAAAAATTACTGAAATGGGCAATATCAATTAGTGAATAAATAAATAAATAAGATCTAGCTTAGTTTTTTATACACAAGCAATGTGGCACGCTCGAATTCGGGTCATGTAATCCACCTTCTCATAACTTTTTAACTGCAGTGTATTCCGATTTCGAGTTAAAGACTTTTCATTTCTTAATGTTCCTTTCTTCCTGTCTTCGGACGTTGTAGATTTCCTTCATCTACCGTGTTCTTCTCCTTACATTTTCAATTGCGGGCAATTAGCAAATTCTCCTTGGGCTTACTTTAATGACTGTCTAACGTAAAATGTCGTCTTACACTCGAGTTTTATAGCTTCCGCTTTGCATTATCAAATATTATTGGTGTTGTTCTACCGCTTCTTATAACCGGCTTCTTCTTCTTCATACTGTTTGCAATTGCATGTCGTCACGTCAAGCTCTGAGAAGTGGCAAGAAGAAGAGTGAAGAATCGGCGCAGCAGCTGAAAGAAAAAACCCTTGGCTATCTAATGATGATCATTAGGAGCGGTACTGTAATCACACAGAAGCTAAACTCAAACTTCCAGCTGAACCTTAAGCTAGTTCCCCTTCTTCTTCTTGCTTTTTGTCAACATCAAACGGTAGTTTCTTAAGCAAAAGAAACAAAAAACAGCATCAGAGGCAACAACTGAGGAGCAACAGATTACTCTAAACATTTTTACACAGGAAACAAAAATCTTACCCAAAGTCCTCAATTACTAAATGGTAAAGCCACAAAATTGGTAGGGTGATGAAGTTTATTTTTATATATTTTCATTTGCATTTTAAACCGAAATTACAGATATCAAATTTTGTTTACTTAAAGCTCTGAATGACATCATTTTTATAATTTTTCTATTCTTCCTAATAAATTACTAGCTCAAATTTCTACCTACCTGGATGGTAATGCCTTTTCTTGAAATCTTTCCTTAATGTTCTGATTCCCAACTCTAAACACATTTTCTTGTATTTTATATAATTAAGATCTTAAAGGGAAAATAGCTTTGTGTTACAAATCTTATCAATTAATTGTTGCTTTGGCATTGGTTTTTTCCGCAGTGTAATTATAGCCAATGCAACCTACATTCTCTCCCTTGAATCTCCACACTCTTAGTCTCTTTCCCTTCTGGTTTCCCCGGTTTTTAAGCCCCGATTGCGTTTTTTGCCGCTGTGAGACCATTGTAACGGCTTTGATTAGTCTTAGGAAGTCGCCTAAGTTTTGTCGTTGTTGCGTTGGACTCATCTTCCCCTGCTCACCCCCCTTTCTCACAGTGTGCGGCACACTGATGCGACTTTTTCTTTGGTTTGTTTGCTGCTGCTGGCACTTTAACAGTTAAATGCTTAGTTTACATCATTAGCATGCCGTTTCCATATATTTTCCTCTCTTTTGACTAATAAATAAGCAATTTAGTAACTGATTCTTCTGCTGTCCCCGACCATGGATTTAATTGGTCTGAGCAAGTTGGTAAGGGGTTTTTAAATTTGCATAGATATCCAGGGCATTAGAATCACTTGATTAACATTGTATGGTTGAAAAATTATTTGCGGTTTAGTCAGGGAATTTTAAAATTGTACAATTAAATTGGAAGTACCTTTGGGTGAACAACAGGGTTTATAAGATAACAAACTTATGAGGTATTGGAATATCGAATTATGATAATATTAACTTTTTGCCCCACTTTTAAAGTAATTTGGTAAAGCCAAAGAAATCCAGTTATAGCTATCAAGACAAGATTTTCCACAATAATACAATACCTCCTAATACAATACTATCTCTAAACTACCTAAACTTAACTTTAAAAAAAATATACATAACCGTCCAACAAAACTAGGATTCTCGATAAAGAAACTTGATTTCCGCTCAAAACCGTAAAATTGATATGACCATTCAAAACGTTAACCACCCAAGTTCTCTTCACAGTTCCAAAAATTGTAAATATATTTTCCTCAGTCATTACACACTCCAGAAAGTTCGTTGCCTCGCTTTTACGAATGTGTTAAAGAATATGCATTTTCATGTTGCTCTATACGCTTTGATAATTTCACGAACGCGTTATCAATTTATTGTTTTAGTGCTCCCTACCCAGAGATATTTGATAAATAAAAACCCGGCCTTATTATGTACGACTATCTTCCAAGAACTGAATTAAATTGTAGATGTTCTTTCACCGCAGTCATTACACCAAGATTAACACACAGGAATCACTGCCTTTGGCCAGTTCGTTGCCTGAGTCTTTCGTTTGTGTGTGATTCTGCTGTTGTCTCTGTCTCCGCAAGAACGAGTGCACTGAAGCATGGACTTTCGGCTCCGACTGCAGGTTTTTGTCTGAGTATATTATTTATTTATCTGGCCACCAACTCGGTGGGTTCTATTAACAATGTAAACAATACCGTTAACACGACACGACGCGTTGGGAAAAAGCTTTTGGCAGAGGGAGCGAAATAGATACATGAAATGTGCCGAGAGAATTTGCCAAGTTGGTGGGCAAAGAAGGAAGAGCCGACCTGCCAGCTGCATATTTTAGCCACCACTTCCACTCCCCTTGGCAATGCATCAAAGAATTGAACAACAAGAACAGAGCTACGTAAAAAGCGTGAAAAAGAGGCGACAGGAAAAACGGTTTGAGGAAAACACTTATTAAATTTTAGCATGCCCAAAGTGTGGATAAAGGCGGGGGGGCAGGCGGTAAAGAACCGCAACAACGGCCCAAGAACCACAACTGGGAAGTGTCCGTGTTTGCCCAGCGATGCATTCCTGGAGTTCCCCGCAAATTCACATACCTGTCTGGGGTGAGGTTTTCTTATATCCACTGTTTCTAAGAGGCACAAAACAAAAATATGACTCCACCGATTGCTGTTACTTCGATCTGTTTGTTTTTTTATGCTTGCACTTCACCGTCACTCGAGGGTTCGATCATCCTTGACCACAAGAAGAGTCTTCTGGTCTTTGCCTTTCCGAAGAAGAGTCTTTTTTTTGTATTGCTCAAATTTATTACCGTCTCCACACACCGATCTGTTTTCTCGTTCTGAACGCGTCGCGTGCTGATTCCAAACTGAGGCTCAGCAACAAGTTCGAGTTGCTTTTAAGAAAAAGCATTCGAAAGAAAGTTGTCTGCATACTGAATTCTGTTCGAGCAGCCCAAAGATTCTCGTTCGAAAGCTGCAACAAAAGAGACTCTCTGAAGAGAGAATCTTCTAAGAGAGGCCTCCGACCGAAGGGAGATTAATTACTGGTTGTACTGCTGATAAGCATGAAATGTCGCTTGTCCGCAGTTTGTTGGCCAATTAAAAATTAGATTTCGCTCTAGATTTGTCCGCCAGATTGGGATTACTTCGCGGAACGATTGCAGAGATAGATATATCAGGGCTTTTTCTGCTGGGAATAAACTACCAATTATTAAAGGGTTGAATGAACTAGAAAGTAAAGTTAATTTACTAATAGTCCGTGAAATATAAACGTATTCCTTGCTCTCATAACATTATTAAGTATTTAAAGCACTTTAAGAGCAGGCATTCCAAAATGTTCTGAAAAATGATATTTATACGTAAGATTCTTATTAAACTTCCATATTTTTTTATATTATTACAAATGCATAAATTATATAAATTCAATTAAAGTTTAATCTGGTGTTCCTTCTTCAAGGCCTTCTCATATCTTACTCATTTCCATAATCCATAATCTTCTCTTTACCAATTACAAAACCATTTTCAGTTTCCCAAGCACAGAAAGCAGGCAAGAAAAATATAATAATAAATATACACACACATTTGTGTGTATATATAAAAGACCATAAAGCACAGACATTCATTCCGATGCCAAATGCCGACGCCAATAAAGCCCCCAAGTAAACAATTCCAGGCATTACTCCATTACTCATAATGGCGCAGCCAAATGTCGCGGTCGCATCCTCATCCTCTCCAGCGGAGAAAGGGAGAACCCCATTGGGGGAGCAGGGATTCTGGAGACGGAGGAGCACCCGCCCATGTTGTTCGCCAGGTTGCATAAATCTGTTCGATTCATAACACGAAGATTGCGAAGGAAGCAAAGAGATCTGGCCTTGCCCTGACTTTGGTCCGACTCTTTTTCTCTTGTTCTGGACGGAGATGTAATCGTGATTGCATAAAATAAAACACCTCTGGGTAATATAAAGATTGTCTTCTTATTTTTTTATCATTCTATAGTAAGTTGTTTCCAACTTAAGAAATTTCTGTAAATTCTTTAAGTTCCTCATATAAAATCAACAATTTTAATCCTTTTTTATTTAAAAATGCAATATCAAGCAAATTTTTAAATTTAAAGAAGTTTTAGTTCCAGTGTTATTCTTAATTTATGGCCAATACGGATAACACTTAAAAACTAGATTTATATTGAATAAGACAGAATAATCATTAAAAATTTGTATTTACGTGCGACTTCAATTTATATATATTAAAAAAAGGGTCGAAAGGGTCAAAAATGTTTAAAGGCATCATGTTCAACGATCAACCTCACGTTATATGCTTTATTTGTATTTTCTTTAAAATAATATGATTTTGGTACTCCTTGAGATCCATTTCTCTGTGAAATTGGTAAAAAACATTGGTAATTTTACGTTGGATATATTTATACTTTAGGCCCAGCTGTGGAGTCACTGTGACATCTCTAGTCCCCCAGTCGGATTCCTTTATCAGCCTTGTCTTCATCGATCGCGTCGGAGATTCTGTCTGTCTGATCGCGGGTCCGTCCGACGGTCTGTTGTTCAGGGCCCTTGTTCTGGGCCTGTTCCTCTCGATCTCCCTGTTGGTTCCCGTTGAGTCGTCGCTTTGTCTTGACTCCTGGCAGGCAGCTTCGTCGGGGCTCGGAGGCGTGCCTGGCCGGGGCGAATAAAAACAGAATAATATAGAATGAAATATTTATCGCCATTAGAGCCTGATTAGCTGCGGGCGTGTTCTGGCCATCGTTCTCCCGACCACGTTCTTGGCTCTTGGCCGCATTCCCCACTCCGTGATCAGATGTTCTGGGCCGCGAAGTTCTTTTGGGGGCACTTAATAAGCTTTTCTGGTGTGATTGTGATGGGAAATTGATATGTTCATTCAATTATGTGCTCTGGTCGTGTCAATAAACTGATTGCGATCGTGTCCAGCAACTTGCCGACCAATTAGTTTCCCAACGAGACCTGTCCGATCAATTTGATTGATAAAACGGCGGCCTGCTTAGGAGGAGTGTCTGGGATGAAATGAAATCTGGACGTGCTGAAGCCCACACCAAAATGAGCAGAACTTAAAAGCAAGAGTCATCTTATGTGCTAAGCTCCATGGGGAGAAGTGTTCTACGAACGGTTGTGCAATAAGGAAATGGAAAGTTGATCCGAAACTTGTATGCCAAAGCTAAGAGGTTGAAATTCTTTAAGTCCCTGTTAAGATGCTAACTAGTCTATTTATTTTTGTTTTCGGTAAGTAGATATGTATGTAATCGGTTGTTATAACTAAAATTAACAGAAACCGATTGTGTAAAAAAAAGATAAAATTTATTTTCAGTTAACACAAAATATCTTTAATATTTGAAGATAATATAATGTAAAGTTATTAATAATAATAACTGCACAAGTGTTTTTTTATTATTTTAATGTAACACTTATATGATAAGATAAAGGGGAAATAAAAATGTACATATGTGTTTAGGCTTTTCTTGGCTTGTTACAAATTCATTACACTTGAAAACATTTTGAAATAAATGACAACAAACATTTCTTATTCCCCCACAATCGACAACTTGAACATAATCTCAAACTTCCTGATCAAATCTAAAATTTTTAATAAAAAATAATTTAAATAAAATAAAAAAAATAAAAAACAAACATAAAAATAAAACATTGTAAATATCTACCCTTTAAGAAAATAAGCTAGATTCAAATAGACAAAAGAAAACAAAATGAAATGATACTAAACCAGAAGAGCTGAAGGCCTATAGCTGCTATAGATCATGCCCATTGTTAGCATTTAGTTTACAATTACTTGTTAGCATTATATAAATAAACAAATTTCTTATTCGATTTCTGAAATTGTTCAGTATTTCGGGAGCTATCCAGGAAGTGAACTGGGAGACCTGCACATAAACAGACGGCGAGTTGGTCTGACCGCATGGCAGCTCGCGATGCCGATGAGGACATTTCCCTGAACCAGAGGACCTCCCGAACCCGAGGTGCAAGAGCTGGTGCCGCCAGTGAGGGGACCTGTGCACAGGTGTAGATCAGTTCGATATCATAGGGTAATGGCTCGAACACTCCTATTGTTCCAGTGTAGGGATCATAGATCACAAAGCGGGTGATTTACCGCTTTTGGGGGTTGTTTGCTGTCCCGCAAAGAAAACTGACCAAAGTTGTCGGCATTTTAAATTAATTCGTAATACCGAAATTACGCGAGCTAGCCAAGAAAATGATAAAAACCTTAAATTACGACTCTTGTCTGTCAGATAAGAACGGGGGGGGACATAGAACGTAAGTTCCTTGTAAGTTCAGCGTAAGTTCTTTGCGTACATCAATATAAATTTTACACGACTTAGCTCTAAAGTGATTTCTGTGGCACCCCTAGTACTGTTTTGATAACTGAATTCTAGTGGATTTTCCCTTCAAACAAGAAGATTGCTTAATTGATTAAATGCAGTCAGTGTCTTTTATGTTATAATACCCTTAAAAAAATGCAGCTGACCAAAGGCGTTAAATTCGATTCCAGAAAATTTGTCAACGACATTCGAGGAACGATTTTTCATTTGATTAAACTTACAAATTTACAGCTTTTGAAAAAGTAGGACAAATTAAACGCAATTGCACCATAATATGAGCAGATACACACTTAGAAAACAAGGGAGAACTCTGTAGTCGATGCCATCGACTATCAGGTACCCGTTACTTTGCTAAGTGTACTGGGAGCACTCAGGAAATGCGCCCTTTACTCTACGAGTAATGGGTATAACAAGAAAGATAGGCTTAGTCGAATACCTCGACTATCATATACCAGCTACTCAGCTAACCAATTAAACTTATTAACTAATGGTCCGATTTAACGATAGATATTGACAAATAAAAACAAGAGAAAACGTTATAGTCTATGGCCTCGACTATTAGATACCCGTTACCCAGCTTAAGGGGGTGCGAGAGGGATGGAGATATGCTTAAAGCAACTCTGCTTTTTTAACTAACAGGCCTAGCCCATAGCGCAACCTATATTCTTCTTCTATAGCACCACCAAGCCTATAGCGCCCCTAGCGGCTTGGTGGCGTATTAGTGAAAACGGTGTGGTGTGCACTCGTTAAAAATTTGGACACTAGGCAGACCTTGCGCTGAAGAAGAACTATAAATCTTAAATCCCAGTTCTTGCATTTTGTGCATATCCAAACTCTATTTTAAGACAAATGAATTGTGTTAAAAAGCTTCATATAGGAAACTTTAGTTCTAACACTTTGAAAAAAAAACCGTATGTTTACCGGGAAAATAGCTTTAAATAGATCAATTTCGAAAGAGCGTATCTTCTGATGCACAAAAGCTTTATACTTGCGCTATATGTCGTTAAAAAGGTTTTTTAAATCCTATGGACACCTTTTCAATTCAGTTTATCTAAGTAAAATTGTATAAAAATAAATGAAAATGCCTGATTAACCAAGATCGTCCCAAAATTATTTATTATGAATGTAGCTTTATGAACTGCTTATTAAATCGCAGTGACTACTTGCAAAACGGCTTGGGATCCGCTTCAGGATAGCTTTAAAGTTCAGCATTTAAAATGCGGGAGCGATAGTGGAGTACCAATATTTGGGAAATAAGCGGGGCGTTTGCAGTGGACATGTCCTTTTTGCCAGGTCTTTAAACTCAAAGAAAGTGAGGCACCTATATATTCTTTTCCTTATGATATTTATACCCTTGCAGAGGGTATTATGATTTCAGTCAGAAGTTTGCAACGCAGTGAAGGACACGTTTCCGACCCAATAAAATATGCATACTCTTCATCTTGATTTCCCTGAAAACTGAAAAAATGTACTTTTTATAATAATTAACTACTTTTAAGGGCATTTTTATGTTTAAATACTTCGCAAGGAAAACATACGATTTGTTTGCACCTTTTATATCAAATCTCTTTATTGCAATCTAATAAGAAGATAAAAACCCAAAGAGGGCGAAAAAATGTTCAATTAACTATTAATAAATCAACATGGAAAAATTGTACGTTCGCGACCCGTACGTTAGCGACCGATTCTTAATTCAATAAAAAAAAAACAAATGAGATATTTTCTTGGAACACACTCGATAGAAAGCTACATGAATCCACTTTAAAAGTAAAGTTATTGCTTTAAAATATTTTGTCCCAATTCGCAGATTTTTGCATTTTACTAGATAAGCCAAAGTCGACTTCCATTTTGTGTACGTTCGCGACCGCATGTTTTTTCCCAATATTATGAAAAATATAGCTCAATAAACCCCATTATTAACACTAAGCAAAGAGCTAACCAAATGTTATCGTATAGCAAAAAAATATTCAGAAAACGTTTATTTTCTATTTTTTATTTGCACTAAGTGCGTACGAACGTACGTTCGCGACCCTGGAAATGTCCATATGTAATATGTAATGTGTAATAACGATACAATTTTCTATAACCCCTTTCACAACCAAATTCTGGATCCGCCACTGATAACATTTAAATATAGTTGTCACAAAGTATCTTTAATTTCTGATAAGTTGGCTCGATAGGTCTTCATGCCTTGGGAACATCATTAATCTTATCATAGTTATTTTTTTGTAACACTTTGTAATAGACATCGCGTGCAATTTTTAGTTACACACAAAGCCAAGGAATTAAAAGATATGATATCGGGGAAATTCAAATGTATTAGTACTTAGCGATACTTGGTTTTATAAATGGAACCAAATTTTAATATTTAAAATAATTTTAAAATGAATAAAAATTTTTCTTGATCATTTAACACGGATGGACGAATGAACACGAACGTTACTTATTCGATTTTTCAAAGTCTTCTTTTTGAATGACGTGCCTTCGCTTTTTATTAAACAGTTCTTTTTTGAAGATACATTTCACAATAATTCATATCTTCTGGTTCGCAGCTATCCAGGAAGTGAACGAGGAGACCTGCACATAAACAGACGGCGAGTTGGGCTGACCGCATGGCAGCTTTCCCCAGGACACGATGCCGATGAGGACATTTCCCTGAACCAGCGGACCTCCCGAATCCGAGGTGCAAAAGCTGGTGCCGCCGGTGAGAGGACCCGTGCACAAATTCGTGGTGTGGACATCCTGGCCCTTGCTGCCCAATGCCGTCGCACAAGAGTTAAGGCTTATGATGGGAATGTTCTTCACCTCCTGGAGGGTCTTGGGATACGAGGGGGTGTTAGTTTTGCTGGTGCTGCCCCAACCGAAGAGGTTAGCAGAGCCAGTGGGCCTCACTCCGGAGGAGGGTAGCTTGACAGGTGCCACTGCAGCGGTCCAAACGAAGGCGGTGGGCGTGTAGATCAGTCCGATGTCATAGGGTACTGTTCCTCCAGTGTAAAGATCATTGATCACAAAGTGGGTGATTTGCCGCTTTTGGGTGGTGCTCGCTGTCCCGGCCACTGCAATGCTTCCCGCAACGAGGGTACTTCCCAGAACCTGGTTTCTATTGGCCAGACAGTGAGCAGCAGTTACCAACCAGTTGGTATTCAGGATGCTGGCAGCACAATAATGGGTTCCACCGTATTGCATAGACACTATATAAGGAGCACTGTTCGCCGCCGCCTCTTTACCACCCACCACGCGTCCTTCGGGCTGGGCAAAAGCTAGTCCCGATCCTTGGCAAAGTCCCACAGCCATGAGAAGGAAACTGGCCAGGGACCGATGGCACCAACTTGTTTGTTGTCTATTCGCAATCATAGTCTTCGAGGAACTGTTTACATCGGCTGTATCGACGCCTTTTTAAATTAATTCGTGATACAGAATTTCGTGCGAGCCAGCCAAGAAAATGATAAGAACTTTCAATCACGGCCCTTGTCTTACAGATAAGAACTTAATATTATTTAATATGAGAGGGTATTTTATTTATATTCTCTTGGTTTGATAAACATTGTTTACAAGAGGGGGGGATGCGGGAACTACAATATGTCAAGTCTGTCATTTCATAATTTCATTCTAGACTCGAAAGGGATTCCCCTTTAAAACGGTAAGATTACTTAATGAAATGAAAGCAGTCAGTTTTATTACCACTAAAACAAATGAATTGGAAAAAGTAGAACCAATAAAACGCAATTACACCATAATGTGAGCAAATATACACTTAGAAAAAGGAATGAATTTTCAGCGCGGGCTTGATTGGGGCAATTCTTGAAACCCAATCGCTTCAAATATTTCTATTGCTAATAAATGTTCTAAAATTAAGAAAGAGAAGAAAAGTTCTTGAAATAAGATCTTCTGAAATATATCAAGTCATTCATCAACGAATCAGTCAAACTATGTGAATAATTCTTCTGAGCCCGAAAATATGTGATCTGTTTGACCCCAACACTCACCTTCTCCCATTGGAATGATAAGATAAACTTTACAAACAGCATTTTGTGATATAGTCGATGCAGTGCGAGGGTAAGTCCCACACTTAAGTCGCCAGCCACTAAGGGCACAACTTTGATTGTTTTTATTGAAAAATTAGGAGTAAGTACGGAACTTAGGGCACCTGTTGGTTGGCGGATATCCAGGATATGAACGAGGAGACCTGCACATAGACCGAGGGCGAGTTTGCCTGGCCGCAGGGTAACTTTCCCCAGGACACGATGCCGATGAGGACGTTGCCCTGCACGAGTGGACCTCCCGAATCCGAGGTGCAAATGCTGATGCCACCGGTCAAAGGGCCGGTGCACAAGTTGGTCGAGTGGACATCGCTGCCCTTGGTGCCCAGAGCGCTTTCGCAGGAGCTCAGCGAGATGATGGGCACATCGGTGGCCACCTGGAGGGTCGACGGATAGGAGGCGGTGTTCGTGGTGCTGGTGCTGCCCCACCCGTAGAGATTGGCGGTGCCAGTGGGCACCACTCCCGACGAGGGAAGCGTTACAGCCGCCACGGCAGCGGTCCAAACGAAGGCGGTGGGCGTGTAGATCAGTCCGATGTCGTAGGGAACCGTGCCCCCGGTGTACAGATCGTTGATCACGAAGTAGGTGATGCTGCGCGTCTGCGTGGTGCTGGCAGTTCCGGCCACCGCAATGCTGCCCGCCACGAGGGTACTGGCCAGCACCTGGTTACTGTTGGTCAGGCAGTGGGCAGCAGTTACCAGCCAGTTGGCATTGAGGATGCTGGCAGCGCAGTAGTGGGTTCCTCCGTACTGCATGGACACCGCGTAGGGAGCACTATTGACCGCCGCCGCACTCCCGCCCACCACACGCCCCTCGGGCCGGGCAATGGCCACTCCGGACACCTGGCACAGGCCCAGGACCAGCAGCAGCACACTGGCCAGCGACTTTGTTTGCTGTCCGTTTGCTATCATAGTTTTCGCGGAACTGTTTACATCGGCCTTTATCGCCGACCGTTTAAATTAATTCGCGATACCGAAATTCGCCAGCACCGGGAGATAAGGCTTTCAATTAGCGCCCGTGTGTTCTTCAGATAACCGCTTAATATAATTCAAGATTAAGCGGCGCCCCAGCAGTGATTCCTTGGGAAAAGTACGTCAACTTGCAGCGATTGGATGGGCAAATAACGACGTAAATATCTCAAGAATGCCCATTCACCCTTTGAAGCTTTCAAATTTGAAAATCACCGTTCTCCTTTTTAGTATTTAGTATTCACAGTAACCGCTTAGTATTTTTTAGAAACTTTTTATTATTCTACCAACCAAATTCCAACGTAATTGTTGTTGTTGTTGTTGTAAGGCACATTTCTCAAGTTGTTAACAAATATTAAAAAGTTAATAGTGCACTCAACAAATGTATTAGTCGATGGCGAACATCGTTATCGAACAGTTGCTGCGACTATATCGAATAATCATCGATTTTTGTACCAGCTCTGGTCACACAGCAACTGAGTCAGAAGTTGAAGAAGAAGCAGAGACCGTAATTTTTCCACGACTTAACCAAGCGATTTACCGAGCGAATCGAGCTGCAATTGGCCATTTAGCTAGCCGGAAGCATTTAGAGCGTGAGCATCAGAGTGCAGCAACTTGGAAGCGGTGCCTCCAGAGAAATCGCAGTGCGAGAAGGCCCCGAAAACCGCTGGCCCAGCCCCATTATAAACAGAGAGGGGGGTGGAGAGTGGAGAGTGCGCAGCCGAGGAGTGTGTGTGTGGAGAGTGGAGCGAGAAGAGAGGTCAGCAAACCCGTAATTAAGAAAAAGTAGACACGTACGTGAAAGATGTCATCCGGAGATTTTGGCAATCCGCTGCGGAAGTTCAAGTTGGTCTTCCTGGGCGAGCAGAGCGTGGGGAAAACCTCGCTGATCACTCGCTTCATGTACGACAGCTTCGACAACACGTACCAGGCGACGATCGGAATTGACTTCCTCTCGAAGACCATGTACCTGGAGGATCGCACCGTGCGTCTGCAGCTGTGGGACACGGCGGGCCAGGAGCGGTTCCGCTCTCTGATACCCTCGTACATTCGAGACTCCACGGTGGCCGTGGTCGTGTACGACATCACCAACACCAACTCGTTCCACCAGACCTCCAAGTGGATCGATGACGTGCGCACGGAGCGGGGCAGCGACGTCATCATCATGCTGGTCGGCAACAAGACGGATCTCTCGGACAAGCGCCAGGTGTCCACCGAGGAGGGTGAGCGAAAGGCGAAGGAGCTGAACGTGATGTTCATTGAGACGAGCGCTAAGGCCGGCTACAATGTGAAGCAGTTGTTCCGGAGGGTGGCTGCGGCACTGCCCGGCATGGATTCCACGGAGAACAAGCCCTCCGAGGACATGCAGGAGGTGGTGCTGAAGGACTCGCCCAACGAGACAAAGGATCCCGAGGGCGGCTGCGCCTGCTAGAACCGGTTGAGCCGACGACCCAACCCGATCCAACAATTCTCCCCTTTGAACAGCAGGAGCAGATGCAGGAGATCGGCCAACAGCACCGGTGTACACAGGTGTCAGGTGTATGTCCTGGCTGGATCTGCGGCGGATTCCTCAACATCTATACACACATACACACTTTACGTTTAAGTTTATTTATAAAGTAACAAATGATAGCAAAGGCAAATAGACTAAACAACAATTAACGAAATCGGCTAACTAATTAATGTTAATTGAGCAGTGCAGACGAGCTAATCCCGAGCGTAGGCGAATGCTAACTTATTGACACGAGATCAGGGATCAGGATCAGAGTAATATTTGCGAGTTAGCTACCAGACAAGAATATAGTGTTGTGCATTTCCGATATCCCACAAACCAAACCCCAAACCCCAACCATGTACTTATGTCAGGCCAGGCGGTCCAGGATCCTCCGACATTCCAGCTCTCGGCATCTCCAACAGTCGTAGATACCACGCAGCCAGCCTGTGTTCAATGATTCCACCAGCCAGGCAATTAGTTTCCAATTTTAGCCCCGTTCTGTTCTGTTTGCGGCTTTTGTTTCGCCGATTTCGGTTCGGTTTTCGGTTTTCTTAGCACAGCGAGCGCGACTGCTAACTGGAACTTTGGATGGCATAGGACTTGGCCACGTGCATCTTATGAATAAATATACACAGATATATAATATGTATTTTTATGACTAAAACTGAAACAGACATGCAGCACGAGCAGAGCAAACACTTAACAATATTATTAACGATTTTTGCTTCGATTAGCGAGAGATCTTTGTGCATTTTTTACGCGAAAAGCAAAAGCTTACAAAATTGATAATTGAATAAAAACATAAAACTATGGATGCAATTTTTAATAAATCAAATTATGAAAATGAAAAGTATACAAGATATTAGCAATAAATTAAAAAAAAAAAAAACCCAAGCATGACTCATAAGAAGTGGGTTTACACCCTCTCTCCATTCCCTTTATTAAAAAGGGTTCCACGATATTTGGGGCGTCGTATCTTATCAGTTTCAGGTTGTGTTACCGCTTAAAATCGTTTCCGAAAGACCTGCGCACCTGTGTCGGCATGACTGGTCCGAAATTGCTGACGAATTCCGATGGTTCGTCAAGAAATTACAGTGTAATAGGCTTAGGCTGTAGATATGTATATCGTAGATATGATTCCCAGTTGGTGAAGCCTAACAATCTTGTAATTAACTGCATTCTTCTATCAGTTTTCGTAATCCTTTTTTTTTAATTTAATCGCTATGGTACAAGTTCTTCAAATAACAATTTTTTTCTATTGAATAGAATAAAAATTTTTGTCATCGCCAGATGGAATCCTTATGTTTTTGCCAACTAAAAACTTTTAAAAAGTTGTCATCGCCATATGGTCTCCTCTTGTTTTTGTCAACATTAAAAAAACTATATTCCCTAGTTATTATAAGTACTAAAGAATGCGTCACAAATTATGTATGGATTTGGTTTTTATTTGTGAATTCCGGTTTCGTAAGCGTAAATACATAGAAAGAACAAAAAATGCGTACTTGCTTTGCTATGCAAATTTAAAGTATACTTTTGATAAATAGATTGAAATAGAGTCTTAGAAGTTGTCCTCGTTGGCGATGAACTCATCACGAATCTTCTGCAGCTTGGTTATCAGCTCCGCCACGGAGACCTCGCCATGCACCTTGTTGTCCCGAGTGCGGACGTTCACGGTGTTTGAGGAGCGTTCCTTGTCACCCACCACCAGGATGAAGTTGAACTGGGCCAACTGAGCATTGCGTATCTTCTTGTTCATCGTGTCACCCGCATCGCAGTCCGCCTCGCTCATGAATCCGGCATCATGAAGCTGATCCCGGACAGACTGCGCGTACTGGTCGTAGGCAGGACCGACGGGAACCACCATTACCTGGCGCGGCGAAAGCCAGAAGGGCCACTTGCCCGCAAAGTTCTCCGTGAGAATGGCAATCATGCGCTCCACTGAGCCAAGGATGGCGCGATGGATGATCACCGGCCGCTTCTTCTCGCCATCGTCGGCGATGTAGCTGAGATTAAAGCGAATGGGCAGCTGGAAGTCCAGCTGGATGGTGGCGCACTGATGGGCCCGCTTCAGTGCATCCATAATGGTAATATCGATCTTGGGTCCGTAGAAGGCGCCATCGCCGGGGTTCTCCTTCCAGGGCATTCCGAACTCGTTGAGTGACTCAGCCAGGGCCTTCTCTGCATCGTTCCACTGTTCCAGCTCGCCCAGATAATTTTCAGGGCGAGTGGACAGAACCAGCTGGAAGGAGAAGCCGAAGATGGTGTACACGTGCTTCAGGAAGTCTAGGCAGCCCTTCATCTCGCTCTTGATTTGCTCTGGGGCACAGAAGATGTGCGCATCGTCCTGCTGGAAGCGACGCACTCGAGTAAGTCCAGTCAAAGCGCCGGAGAGTTCGTTGCGATGAAGCACACCAAAGTCGGCCATGCGCAGAGGCAACTCGCGCCAGGATCGGTTGCGGTTATCGAAGATAAGACAATGTCCGGGACAGTTCATCGGCTTGAGGGCAAACTTCTCCTTCTCTGCTTCAAAGGAGAACATGTTCTCGGCATAGTGCTGCCAATGGCCGGAGGTCATCCACAACTTGGCATTGTAGATGTTGGGCGAAATGACTTCCTGGAAGCCACGCTTCCTGTACTCCGCCTTGATGAAGCCTATCAGAGTATTGTAGATGTGAGCTCCTCGCGGCTGGAAAAAGCATGAGCCCGGCGACAGCTCATGGAAGAAGAACAACTCCTGCTCGCGACCGATCTTGCGGTGATCCCGCTTGGCCGCCTCCTCCTGCAGTTTCTCCCACTCCTTGAGCTGCTTGGGATCGGGGAACGAGATGCCGTAGACACGCTGCAGAGTCTCAGCGTCGGCCTTGCCCTCCCAGTACGTGGAGGAGTTCTTGGTGATCTTCAAAGCCTTTACCTTACCGGTGTGGCGGACGTGGGGTCCACGGCAGAGATCGATAAGAGAGCCGCACTTGTAGACAGTGGTGCGATCGGTGGTCACCTTCTCGTTGAGAATGCGAACCTTGAACTCGTTGTACTTGAACATCTCCAGCAGGTCCGACTTCTTCATCTCCAAACGCTCGAAGTTCTGCTTCTCCTTGACGATTTGCTTGACCAGGCCCTCCATGGTTCCGTAGTCGTTGGTGGAGATCTAATGCGGCAAATAGTTAAGCCTTTTTATTTGCTAGGAAGGTCTTTTTTTACTTACACCCTCGCCTTCCAGGTGCATGTCATAGTAGAACCCATTTTCTATGGGAGGGCCGTAACATAGGTGGCCGCCGTAGATCCGCTCCATAGCCTCGCCCATGATGTGGGCCGAGCTGTGCCAGAAGACGGCCTGCGCCTCCGGATCGTCGAACTTGAGGAGCTGAAGCGTGCAGTTGCCCTCAAGAACCCGATCAAGATCCCAGACCTCGCCGTTTACTTTGGAGATCACGGTGTTGTCGGCCAGACCCTGACTAATGCCGCGGGCCACCTCGTACGGAGTGCTCTCCCAGGAGGTGGCGTCCACCTGCTTGCCGTCAGGCAGCGTGACCTTGATGGGCTCACGAGTTTTGGCTGCCAGCTCGGCCTCGTAATCCGCCTTGCATTTCTCCCAGAACACATTGCGCTCCTCAATGTACTTTGGCCAGGGATTGAGTTCTGGAATGGGATTAGCAGGGATTAATAAAT